AGGCAAGTACGCAGAATGGAAAAGCACAGTGGCGGGACGGAACGAAGCGAATTCACCGGCTAAAAAAAAATAAATAAATAGCATCGCGCACCAAACTAGCCGGTGCGATTATGCGTTTTGTGCAATTCAGCCCATCGAACGATTGCCTATTAATGATTTTCATTGCTCTGTACTTTAGCCTATGCAAAAACAGTTCAAACATTGGAAAATAGTTAAAAATTTCACGCACCTGCGCATGAAAGCTGAATTCGAAACCTTGAAGGGTGAATATCTTTCCGTGATTCCCGAGTTAATAATTTACCCGCCAAAATTTTCACGAGGCCATAAGTGATACTCAAGAGCGCGAGAACGCTAAATTTGAACAGGCAAGGTTCAGAATGGACAGAGGGTCATTACCCTAAAATTTCAGCTTCCCAGACTCCGTGGTTCCCGAGACAATAATTTACCCGTCAAAAATTTTCACGGGATCGTATGTGTTATCCGCGGGTACAGGAAGGTTGAATTTGAGCATTCTGGGTCGCACGTGGTCAGGGGACATACCCATAAAATTCTAGCTTCCTAACTTCCGTAGTTCCCGAGATACTGATTCTACCCGAAAAAGTTTTGCGGAGCCGCGGGTACGGGGAAGCTGAATTTAAATTTGCCGCGTCACCCGCTGGCGAAGAACACAATACCAAAATTCCAGCCGCCTAGCTTTTGTGGTTCCCGAGTTGAAAGTGCGGGACAAATGTGGGACACACACACACACACACAACCTCGTGACAATATGCGTTTTATAATGCTGTTACAGAGCACAAAACGTATAAAAAACCAGCTCGGTGGATGTGAATAGTGAGAAGATACCTGGATGAGCACTTCCCGGATGAATTGGTTCACCGAATCCGTAAGCAGCTGCCCGCCTTCCTGGAAGCACCATAGCACGATGCCACCTTTGCCAAAAATTGTGAACAACTCAATCATCGCGCTGAAAACTTAGGCCAAATGAGGCAACTTGGCCACCCAGTGCACACACATTCGCATCGCGCACATAACGCCCCGCATTGTGGACGCACTTAAACCACGAATTCAGCTTTTACTTCGCCGGTGGGGGAGCGGGAGGGCATTACAGCAAACAGTAACGAGCAATTACAAAAACTCCACTCGGTTCGGCTGATGATCCATGGTGCTTTAGCCTCCCAGCGCTTTGCTCTATCATCTCTGCCAATACTATTTCGCGGCGCCGCTCGCTGGAACTTTGCCAGACGCGCTGGGTAGCGCTGCTCCGTGTCTGGCAGCTGAATTACGTGGCTGGGGGGTGATGGGTGGGAGGACTGGACTTGGTTGGGGGTGTCGGTTGGTAGTTGCCTAGATGCAGCTCAGAAGGCGCAATTGAAGCCAGGATAATGGAGAGGAGTGAGAGGTTCTTTTTTGCATAATTTTTATCGATTTTGCAAAGGTTTGCAACATTTATTGCATAACAAATACAGAAAGCATTTTTTCAGGCAAAGTGCTATTAGAGGTATT